TTTAATAAGCTGTTGCATGTAGTCTACGTGCTGTGTAAGGGCCTTCTTGAAAGGATTTGCCTCTCAGCTGTGAGTGTTCTCCTTAAATGCTATTTCAAGAATGTGATTTGTTGATTTCAGAACATAACTTACTTCAGACTTCTGTTGCTGAGAGCAGAACAAGTCCTTACTTTCCTGTGACCATGGTTTACTTAAGCACTTGATTGAAACCCGATCTGTGTTTTTCCTAACAGAAACCACATTAATTTTTGCCTTACAGTGTGACCCAAACCTTCAAGTCTTCAACGTGTTCATCGATAACCTCGACTTGCGTCTTCCTCGAATAGCACTGTTTTCTACACGAACTATCAAGGCTGGAGAAGAGTTAACCTTTGACTACCAGATGAAAGGTCTGCAGGCTTTAATGCTGTTCTTGCAGGAGGTTTGGGGCAGTGGTGGCCTTTGTTGCAGCTTGACTGATGATAGTATTTTAGTGCATCTCCCTAAGATTGTAGAGCAGCCATCATATGTCATTGTATGTAGATTGTCTGCATACAGTCTGACATGCAGACAAGATTGTACCCAGGAGCTTTAGCTTTTGGCTCCTTCAGCACTGCTAGCTCACAGCAAGGGGCTGTGGTCAGGATGTCTGCCAAGGCAAATTATAGGAACGCTCAAAGCAATGGTTAGGCTACCATTAAAAAATGCTTTCCTTTATTTACATTGATATTTCACTTAAACTATTAAATAAAATCTGCTAGTTACAGAGACAGTAGGAACAGCTGGGTTGTCTAAGGCACCATTCTCTCTGGATTCTGGTGTCTGTAGGCCTGGGCTGGGGATGTAGGTCTTATGATGCAGTTCAGGCTGGAAGAAGTACAGTCCAAAGCTGACTTCAGTCTGTCTTTCAGAACTTCCTGACTTGTGTTTATCTGTGTTGCAGGTTCAATAGATCTGACTTCAGACTCTGCTGATGGTCTTAGCCCATCCAGAAAGAGGATCAGAACTGTGTGTAAATGTGGAGCTGTGTGTTGTAGAGGATATCTCAACTGAGTTCGGGTATCCAAAGTCACAGATACTTTGTTCTTTTTACAATGTGTTCTAAGAAGACTCTTCTTTCACACATATATTCAAGTATTCTTACATCCAGTGTAAATAAGTACAGTGAATGAAAGGCATTATGTTTGTAATTGAAATGTCATTGGCCAAAAAGAGATGCAGTGTTTCAGGCAAATAGAAAACTGATAATGGGGATTAAAAATTGTCTTTTCTAGCACTGCTCTTTAGGAAGCAGGAATATGTGTGCTGAGAAACCTCTTGAAAATATACCTTGATTGGAATACTAGAGTGTGAGCTCACAGCCATAGGCCAATGGGGAGCTGATGTCAGCAGGATGAAGTGACATTACTGTGAGAAGTCTGGAGACATTTGACTTGAATCCTAACTCATAGCTGACGCTTGTTTTGCTGCTTTTGTTGCATAAGGAAAAGCTTCACGAGATAGCAATAACATTTGTTGTACTGACATGGAGGATTAAGGGCAGCGGCCATCAGACTGTGTCTGAATGAAGCTTCACAGGAGCACAAACTGTAAAGTGCCATTGAACTCAGTGCAAGTCAGGCGGTTGGTCTGAGCAGATTCCAGATATAAGATGAAGGTCCTGAATGTTTTTTAGGTGACATTCTGTTATTTAGAATTTTTACACGTAGGAGTTTCTTCAGTTGTTACATTCTGATGTTTAGGTAGGATGCTGTAGGAGCTCTGCAGCTCTACAGGGAGTTTGTGAGCACTGGACTATGGGTAGTAACACAAGCTGGCTGTTAGCAGTCCTTGTTGAAACAAATTACTGGCTATGGTTTGGCAATAGATAACACAATAGGGAGAGAAACCCATTGCCTAACAAAGCTGATGTGCTCAGTTATTCCTTAGGTGCACAAATACCCTGGGAGTTGACTTATATCCACAACTGGTTTTGATTAAATTTTTACATACTGTGACTATTTTTTATCTAGTGACAGACTTCTAAGATACTAGGCCTGTATTTGTTGCAAAAATGTTAACTTCAGTGAAGTTAGACTAGGGGTGAGTTTACCCATTTTCTGTAGACATTTGTAAGATGTTCTTGAATGTAAAGGCTGAGAAATGTACTGTTCTTCAGCTATATGAGTTGTATGGGTTTTTTTTTCCTGATCATCTTAAAGTTGTCTCGATCTATTCATAATGTATGCAAAGTTTTGCTTGGCTTCATGAACACAAAGAGCAGTTGAGGTAGGTTATGAGGGCAGTTAAAGCCAGGGATGATCTAAGTGCTTTATTCTCATGGATTAAAAGCTTGTCAAACTTGCACATTGCTTACAAATCATGTTGATAGTGTAAGGGAGAATAACGTTGCTCCATCAATGGATGCTATGTATCATAGGTCAGCTCATCACCTTTATAAGGTGCATGGCTGTTGGCTCAGGTGAATGAAGTCAAGTACCCAGCATAGAACTGTTTACTTCATTTGTTAGAAAATGCCTTAAATGCCTCATTAGTTACTAGCACTCCAAAACAAAAAGCACGTTGGTTGTTCACTAAGAAGCACAATTGATCCGGCTCTTTGGCAGACAGTGGAATTTTATACACTACTGGCCAAAGTCAGCTTTGGTTGGGGTGAAGAGTGTGGGCCACTGAAGTGCTGTGTCAGCACTGTCTCACAAAGAGATGTGTTGAAATAGAAACTTTATCTGTTTAATGACTAGGAGAAATTTGGCTTAGAAATGAGAAGGATTTGATGGTACCAGGCTCACCTGTATCCACGCACTTGGATCAGTGCTGAACGCAGTCAGTTTTTATCATTCCACATCCCTAACCATTTCATTTAATATATATATATATATATATATATATATATAAAGTTTAAGTGAAATGTGGAGCTTTAATGTCAGCAAACTCGAGATGATCTTATATCATTTGGAGTTGTTACTGTTTTCTCTTGCATGTAGCCCAGTGGAGTGACGCATTCCACATGGATGGAGTCTGCAGTCTCCAGCTCCTTAATCCACTGCTATCTGCAGCCTTCCCTGTTGGAACAGGATGGAGATAAACTTCGTAGTAGTTGTACATGAGTTCAGTGGCTGCCTTGTCCAAGGAAAGTGTGTTACCATCAGCGCTGGATTATTGCTGCTGTTCCCTGAGGTTCTGTTACCTCTTGTGTGATAAATAAAAGCTTCTTAATTTATATCCAGGAGGTAACAGCAGTTTGTATTTATTTGCAGTAAGACCACATACCCAGTTTCCAGTTTAGAGCCTTGAACAATATTTTGTACTCAGATATTCCCAGAGCATTCAGATTGCGATCAGTGAATGAGCTTAACAGGACACTGTGTCGCTTTTAAAATTCCTCCTACTGTTGTTAGGAGTTTTGGGGGGGGGGGGGGGGAAATTGCCAAATTGGAAAAGAAGAAAAAGCTATTTTCAGTTTTTTAAGGAGCTTAAACCAGCTGAGCTTCTGTTCTTGTTCTGCTTTGTGGTCTGCAAGCATCAGCAGGGCTACCAGCTCAGGTGTGTAGATGTACCTCTTGGAGGCTGGTCACCTGTGAGCTCACCTCTCACTGCTCTTCTGTTGGCTTTCATTTTAATTTTGGTGGGGTTTTGGTAGCAAATCTAAAGCTGCCAGATCACCATAAGAAAAGCTCTTGTCTATTTATTTAATCTCAAAAGTTAAGTCAATCTTTTGGTTCTTTCTAATGTATGGTTTAGGACTGTGTGCATTAGAATATGCAGTTTGTAAGCTCAGGAACATTTTCTTTTCAGGATATGTAATCTCTAGTATTGCTATCTTCCTCTAGGTTTTGATAAAATAAATTAAATTTAGTTTTTCTCTTGTTGTTGTCATTCTTAACCACAAAAAAAAAAAAATAATCTTAACCTGCCACAATGAGCTGGAGCAGCAGGATTTAAGACTACAACCTCTTAATTCCTGTACCCAAGTCATCTAGCACTGTAAGGACTATAGAAGAGCAATGGTGAGGAAGTGGTGTGTTTCCTATTCGGTTTATGGCAGGTAAGAACTGGTATAAATTTACACAATTGACTTGTTATTCTACATTTAAGCACACTGTAAATGCAGCCCTGAACTTCCATACGGAGAGAAGCCAATGGAAGAAGTTCTGCTCTGTAGGACTTTATTCCTGGAGGTTATTACAACAGCAGGTTCACTCACTTAACCTTGATAATAAAAATGATTGATAGACTGTTTGGAAATGAATGTTAACAAATCCCAGGATGGAGTGGGTGATGGGCCAGTGGAGAAGCACGTGGACTTGAATGTCCGTAATACAATATAGACATGATAGCAATTTTTCTTGGGTTGCTTTTCCACATATCAGAACACTGCTGGTGAGACTGAAGACGGGGAAGAGCTGTCATACTAAAAGTCTGCTTAATTCTTTGGGACTTAAGACCACATGGATAGGAAACCTCATGGCTTTAATTTAGGTGACTTTTGCTGTTCTGGCACTGTTGTTGGGCCTGCAGTTTAACACAAACCTGAATGACATTTCCATTTCAGATGCTAAGAATTCCAGCAGAGTTGGTTACAATGGCACTCATGCATGGAGAGATTTGATTGTCTTGATTTAAAAACCAAACCTGAACATGTCTTAATTCAGTGAAATCAGCAGAATGTTGTAGAGGAGGTGAAATCTGGTGACACAAGAGCCTGAAGTAACCCAACAGCCTGGCCAGGATGACGGGTTACCTGCTATTGCTGTGGACTGGCCTTGGAGCAGGCTGCTGCCAGTGGCTGTGAAACCACCCAGGTTTATTTGTAAGTCATTCTGAACAATTCAGAACAACCTAACACATGGAGGAATGGTGGACAAGGTGTTTGCAATAAGTTAGGTTTAAACCAGTGTGTATCAGTCACCTCATTCAGGAGTTCAAGGGGATGACAATGCTGCTCAGTGTAAACAGACTGCTGGAAAAGAACTATTTGATTTATTAAAAAACGCACTTCTCAGTAATTCTGCTACGTTTTGCAACCAAGTTAAAAACAATTGCAGTGAAAACTTGGATTAAATTACAAGTGCAACTATTGCATAGTTTGCATGGTCATACCTGAAAGATGATGTATTCCTACAGTTAAAAATGTGACATTTCATGAAAACCTGAGATCACTTCTATCTCAAAGGCAAACTCTTAGAGCTCATGATAAAGAGAAACACTGAACTTCATCCAGTGTTTAACCCTTAGTTTTGTCTGGTTCGTCTTTTGTCTGCTTGCAGCTCCCAAGAGCTGAAGCTCAGGAGATGGAAGGCTTTCTGGTTCCTCCTGGGAATACCACCTTCTCAGTAGTTCATGGAAGGAACAATAGAGTTACACAGACTGCAGCTTCTGAGTTCTGACAGCAAGAGATTCCTGAAAGCATTGCCTAAACCAGCACAGCTGCAGACAGTAACCAGTATGAAAAACAAGTCAGTCAGCGTTTAATAAGCTTCAGCATTTGTTACCATGATGTGATCAGTTCCACATGTCTTCAGGAGACTCTCTTCTCACAGACTATGTTTTCACCTGCTGCCAGCTTCTTATACAAACAGCGCAGTTTTTCTGGCTGAGGCACTTCAGCATCAGGAGTCAAGGGAATTTCAAAGTCGGAGGAGCTCTGGGAGTCCTTCCTCGGCTTCAGATCCATTGTCCTGGAGTTGTCACTTACTTCCACCACCCCATCTCCAACATGAGTGGTGCTAGCATCTGCATCTTTCTCAGTGTCTTTGCTTTTCAAGTCACAGGCAACATCATGGGCACAAGATCTATTCTGACTCAGTGGCTTGCATGGGCTGTTGTCAAGTGAAGTGTATTTGGTGGTGTCCTGTGATACAGGAACTGTCCTGCTCCCACCTCTGCTCATGTCCAAGGCATTCCTCTCTTGGGTGGTAATGAGCACTGTGTCCATTTGGCTGTCCCAGCCCTGGCTGCCTTGCTCTGATATGTGTGTTGACTGGGAAGAGTTTTGGGAGGAGATGTGTGTTGAGTCACTGACACCATCTGAATCACTGAAGAGTGACTGGGAGCCACCGGCATCTGCTGAGGAGGGGAAGTTGTCCTCGACGTCAGAGGTTTCTTCTAGTCTGTCACACTTAAAGAACATGTCCCAGCGAGGGATGTCACTGCTGGACTCCTGTTGGTCACTGGTTACCCCATTGAAGTTTGATGTGGAAGTGGCATCTGGCTCCTGGGAAAGAACTTCAGCTGTACTGTTTTCAGATTCTTCTTCATCATCATCATCATCATCATTTGATTCCTCGCAGTCCATGAAGTCTACCTTGAGCGAGGTGTAAGTTGCAGTCATTCTGTAACTTTCTGTGCTCTCATCGTTGTTTCCTCCAGTGTTTTCAGACCGTGCTGTGCTGGAGGGCCTGCTCTCTCCTCTCTGCTGTTTCAGAATCTTAGGCCTTGCAGCAGTTAGTTCTGAATCAAAGAGATCATCTTCATCTGCCAAGAAACAAACGGGAAGAAAAACACTAAAACTTTGTTGAGACCAGAGTTTTAAAAAAAATTCATTTAGTATAAAGAGGAGAAAGTTATTTTCTTTGTCCCAGATAAAGACCCAGCAGGACATGACTGACAGTGTTTGCTTTGCCATGTCTTGCCCAGCACCTTAAGAGAAAGCTGCTCATTGCCAGCAGCAGCTCACATGTCGCCCTGGCAGACACATTTATTCAGGCCTCTGATGTGTTTTGCCATGACAACATCACCCCTGCAGGGTGCTCAGTGCTTGGTGCTTCATCAATAGCCAGAGAACCCAGCAGACCCAAAGCTGCCTTCTGGTTCCCAAGTGACTTCTCCAGAGGCCATGTACAGCATCCACTGACCATCATAAGTTAAAAAAGCTACTAGGTGCTAAAAAGCAGTGTGAGAGAATGAGGAAGAGCAATTCCAGTGATACACCACTGTCCTCCATGACACAGCAGGCGATACAAGTCGGAAGAAGCTTTACTAAGGCTGGTCTAGGACTGTGGATCTCTTTCAGCAAAAAAGGGGCTGTTGAGCATTAAGTACACCTTAGGATGGCAAACAAGTGCGTTTCTACACAGCTATGTCCTCTCTCACCCTCCTAAAACCTAGGTTAATTTATGTTTCTCCTTTCTAGCTTTACTCTGGACAGACCGTGATGAACACCACAGCTTGTACCACCTCTGCTTAATCTCAGACTTTCATTTAAGGCACAGCAGCACCAGCAGAAGCTTTACCTGTATCAGATAAGTCTCTCTTGCAGGCTCTCTTCAGTGTTCCTAAGGGCTTGTACCTGGGTTCTGCGTTTCTCCAGTACGACCTGCATAATGGCTTTAGCCTGAGGTGAATGAGAACAGCAATGAGATTCAGCAGATACTTTCAGGAGCAAAAGTTAAATCTTGAAACTTGATCTGAGTATCTCCTTTTTCGTTAAGGAGGAAAAGGACTATCTTCATTTTGGTTCAAACTGAACAACACCGCTGCTCCTCTGCTCTGTACGAGTGCTTTCTAAGCTGCCAACATGTAGCAGCACAAGAGAACAGGCATCTGTGACACCATACAGGGGACAGGAGTGCAAGACCCAAGAGAAACCCTCTTTAAAGGAAACTTCTGAAAAGTAGCAAGGACAAACAGAAACAGGTCACAGGATACACTGAGATGAACGTGCATTCAGATTCCACCCAAATGCAGTTTAACAGCAGGAAAGCCTCTACATGGATATGAGTAGTGCATGGAACACAGACTCTCAGACTTAGCACAACATACAAGTGTTCTTCACATAATATCTGAACTATCAGACAAGCAAAAGGCTCTGGCCTGCAGAAAAGGCTGGGACTCAGGAGAGCTGTCCTTACAAGAACAGAGATCAGTCACCTCTATCCAGCAGTCACTTGTCACTTACAGTTCCATAACTTTCTCTTCTGTCCCACCCACTGGCAGCACATTGGGATACACATTCACAGGCTGGATATAGCTCAGGAAATCCTTAATCTAAATTCCAGAAAAGAAGCAGAAGTTTAATAATTTAACATGTAACATCAACAGTTGTAATTGCACTTTATGGCAGCACGGATCAAAGCACACTCAAAACAAGTACCAACTGTTGTCTCATGTAAAGACCAGTATGACCCATGAGCCAAACTCTATCCAAGCAGATAGCTCCATAACAAGAAGACAGGTCTGAAAGGACCATACATCATCAACAGCTACAGAGACCATCACTATCTCTGAAAGAAAAGGCTGGACAGACCTGCTCCTAGGGAATGTGGTCCTTGCTGCTGGATCTTTTCAGGCCTGCATTTTTCTTACTGGATTTCAAGTGCCTACTTGTGTGGATCAGGTACTCTCTTCTTCAAAGACTTCTGGAAAAGTTTCCCTTCAGTTCACTATAAAAGGTCATCATGACAAAACCTATCACTTTTTCTAAGCCTTACTGTTGTCTTCTAGGTTCTCTCCAGATAGCGAATTCCTTAAGGAATTGTGTCAGTTTTGGAGCATTCCCCATGAGCTGAGGCTTTATCAGTGCTGTGCACTGAAAACACTTGCAGGTTACACTCCTGTCTATAGACAAGTAGGACTCATCTGGTTTTGCTCATGGAGGTAGGAGTTTGTTACAATACACTACCCCCATATGCTGCCATGTTGTATGTACTACAGGATCTTAAAACCAGGACTGCCTTCCTGGTTTCCAGGGCTCTGAATTATCTCCATTTTGGATGTGCAAGGCTTTGTGACAGATCAATTGTCCAGATTCAGTTCAGCTTCTTAGGAGAGAGAAGTATTTTAAGAACTGGATTAAGTCAGGTCAAATGAATGTTTGATGCTGGAGAGGATGCTGCCATGACCAGTCTCCTTTTAGTGTTTAACACAGAAAGAGGACTAACAGGGGCAACTATGATGTCAGAAAATGTGTGGGCAGGGAAAAGAAGGAAAAAGCATTCAAAACTGAGTCACAGCAGATAAACAATGTATTGTAAAGCAAAATTCCAAGCTTCAAGCATTGCATAGTTACGCAATAATCTATCATAGAAAGAGTTAAAACAGTTGTAGCAGTAACCTATACTTCAAGAGAGAGAAAAAAAAAACATAGGCTTATAAGCATGCCCTACCTCATCCTGTTCTTCTGCAGCTATACTGAAACAAACTTGTGTCTTCAGTATACAGAACTTCCTATCCCCTTATGTCTCATGACTGAAAAGATGCTTTGTTGTTGATAAGTCATGTCATCTACTCCAAAACAATCCAAACTCCTTGAATTGTTTTAACCAGTGTGTACTCAACACAACAAATATACAAACCTCACTGTATGAAGAGTGAAAAGAGAAACAAGCTCTGTAGGTACTCTCCCCAGTCCTAAAAAACAGAGGAGGCACAAAAATTAGGTGACTGCTCTTCACCCTCAGTCAACAGGCAAACATTACCTACTCTTATAAAGCCATTTTTAGATTCAGTTACACAAGCCTCTGACAATATATGCACCTAAAACAACAGGTTTCTCTATGGCCCGAATGCTCACCTCACTATTACACTGGTTTTCTTGATCCTTTCTCCAAACCACATAGTGGAGGGTTTGATGACGATTAAGTGCAAGGGGGTTCCATTTTGGCATGTCATCCCACAAGGCAGCCTATTCCATCGAAAGCAGTCATCATCCTGTAGAATGCCATACTAGATTAAGTGTAATCCTACATTTTTCCTCCAGAAATTGAAGAAATTTAGTATCCAGCCAGACCAAATATGCATCTTACTTCCAACTCCTTTGAAACACTGCTGTTGCATCGTACTTCAACAGCTGGAATCAGAGCACCCCTTGGGAAAAGGACCTGGGGGTGTTGCTCAATGAGAAACTCAAAATGAGCCAGCAGTGTGTGCTTCAGTCCAGAAACCAATGGTATCCTGGGCTGCATCCCCAGCAGCATGAGCAGCAGGTCAAGGGAGGGGATTCTCCCCCATCTGCTGTGCTCTGGTGAGACCCATCCTGCAGTCCTGATCCAGCTCTGGGGCAAAAACATAAGAGGGACGTGGAGCTGCTGGAGCAAGTCCAGAGGAGGCCATGGAGATGCTCTGAGGGCTGGAGCAGGTCTGCTCTGGAGCCAGGCTGAGAGAGCTGGGTTGGTTCAGCCTGGAGAAGAGAAGGCTCCTTAAGGGGAGATCTTAGAGCAGCTCCAGTGCCTAAATGGGCTACAAGAAAGCTGGAGAGGGGCTTTTTACAATAGCCTGTAGGGACAGGACAAGGGAGAATGGCTTTAACCTGCCAGAGGGGAGATTGAGATTGGATATTAGGAAGAAATGCTTCCCTGTGAGGGTGCTGAGGCACTGGCACAGGGTGCCCAGAGAAGCTGTGGCTGCCCCATCCCTGGCAGTGCTCAAGGCCAGGTTGGACACAGGGGCTTGGAGCAACCTGCTCTAGTGGAAGGTGTCTCTGCCTGTGGCAGGGGTTGGAACTGGATGAGCTTTAAGGTCCCTACCAATCCAAACTATTCTGTGGTTCTAAAGTGCAGCCAACAAAGTAAATCAATCAGAAACACCAGTGCCCTAAAGTGCCATCTCTAGTTCTACCTGCATTCCTCCAAGCTGGAACCTTCAGCTTGACAGCCATCCTGCAAAGGAAAGGCTGCACACTTCAAGCACATTACGTGGCTGCAGGAAGCACCATCTAAACTGCTTTTAATATATTTAAATGGGATCTAATCTGCCACTTGTCTTACTTCATTTAAAAATACAACTTTTAAGTTTCAAATACAATTCTAGCACCAGCTAATATATTCTCCCCCGCCTTTTTTAAAGTGCTTACTGTTCTTTACATTAAGCCACCACTAACTCTTCAAAAGCACCAAAACATCAGCACCCATGGCCTGTCTTTCACAGAAAAGGTAGCAGAGGATCTGTATAACAATACCCACCCGGGGATGTCGGCAGGCGTGAATCTGAGTATGTTGATCTGTAGTAACGTGGTAGAGGATTTCTGGCATGTTTCTGAACATATCAAGTTTGTTCATGTGCACCTAGAGAAAGGCAGAGTTTACTCTTAGTTAGCTCAGTGTGTTTGCCAGGCTGCAGCTGGAGTAACTGTACAGAGGTGGTTCTGCTCCCAACAAATGATGGCAGGCATTTAAGCAACTACTACCTACTATAACATCCAAGCAGAGAGGTGTCAGCCCAAAGTAATTTGGACATCTAGACCAAGCAGAACATTCGTCCCCTCCTCAAGAGGGATGAATATGCATCAAAGTCAGAATATATCTGCCAACTATTAATGTCATATGTAAATGAGAAGGCTTTTATCATTCACAAGATAAAAGAGGGAGATAGAAACACTAAGCTTGAAAACTGGGAATTAACTTCTCCCTGGAGACTCCAGATGTTCCAGACTGAATCAAGCAGTTAACTCATTTTGAGCACAACTGTAGCTTATGTGAAGTTAACAAAAGTAGGAGCATCTTTCACAGGCAGCAGTCCTCTGAACAGCCACTTCCAGCTCACGACTGGCCACTGAAGATCTGTTCTAAAGCAACAATGATAGAAAAGTTACCTTGACCCCAAGTTCCTCACTGAGGTTTATGAATAAATATTCATATCCATAAGCAGCTTTGCAGTTCAGCCAAACAACATGGTTGCGAGTCAGGGAAATCCAGCTTCGCACTAACTCCAAGATCCCCTTTAAACATTCCTCCTGAAGGGTTTAAAAAAGGTTGTGAATCATCTTTGAAGATACTCTGGTGATGGAAAATAGCATTGCCTTGCAGGACTTGGCTATCAAAGGGATGGGTAATGAAATTAGCAGTTTTAAGGACCTTTCCTCTCACAGCTTATTTAGACTTACCCGGCTTGGTATATGATAAAACTTGGGATCACAGAAAGTAGTGTCCAAATACACACTCTGGATGTCTTTTACTCTGAAAGAGAGAAATGCGATACCAGAGTGAGCGTTGTATCACAGGACTAAGACATACCACTTGCCTCCCTCTTCAAAAGGAGGCAATTCTTCCTCTTTGTTACAAAGAACAAGTCAAAAGGGGCTTGTAAGTGCACTGCAAATATATTAAATTGATAATTAAAAAAATGAGGGAAAGCAAGTCCGTTATTCCTGAATAGTCCATGCCTGTGTGATCTTTTATTCTCCCTAAATCCCATTAATAGTTGAAGTCTCACCTGGTCCCTGAATGCAAAAGCTCCATCCTGGCTGCTTCTCCTTTGGCCAGCCTGAAATCCCCTGTGTACAGCACAGTGCCATTTTCACCTTCAAACAAAAACCTGCACACACAAACGCTCTGGTCAAACTCAACAACATAAAGCATGAAGTGCCACATGTTCATTTGTTACCTTGCTTAGGGCAGCCTACATGGCTCATGTGTGATACAACAGAAATACTGGGCTCAATTTGGTCCTAGAGTGATTTCAGATAAATCTAATCATTCAGACTCTGTGTCTGGGAAATAACCTGGAAAATAAGACCAAAGCCTCACAGATTCCATGAGGGCAACCCAGCTGCTTGTTGTAGCCAAAGGAATCTACCCCAGGGATCTGCATCAGGAAACCTAACACCTGCTTTTTAGGACAAATTTCTCAGCAGATATTTAGAGTATTGAAAGGACATACATGACTGATCCTGGACAGTGCCCAGCTGGTAGGAGTGTCACCTCTACATCTTCTTTCTGGAAGAGATGGGTTGGCATTACTTTCACACTGTAATAAATACTATGAGTACTTTCACTGACACAGTGAAAGCAATGCATTACTGCCCATAGCTGCTTGTAGCACTGCTTTTGAATGAAGAGTCGAGTCTCTTCACATTCCAGCAACTCCTGAAGAGCAACAACCATCCTGTCGTGCCACGAGAGATGACTGAGTATGGCATGATACTCATAAAAGCAAGACAGGAAAAAGACCTAACTCCTTGGTTCATGAATCACAGAACAGTTTGGGTTGGAAGGGATCTTTGAAAATCATCTAATCTGGCTCCCCCTGAGATGAGCAAAGACATTTCCAGGTTGTTCAGAGAGCCATCGAACCTGACCTTGAACACTTCCAGTGATGGGGCATCTACCACCTCTCTGAGCAACCTGTGCCAGTGTTTCACCACCCTCCTCATAAAAACATACCTTCCTTTTCCCTAGTCTAGATCTCCCCTCTTTTAGGTTAAAGCCATTCCCCCTAGTCTACCACAACAAACTCTGTTAAAAATATTGTTCCCATCGTTTTTGTCAGCCCCTTTAGGCACTGGAGGTGCTCTAAGTTCTCCCATTAAGGAGCCTTCTCCAGGCTGAACCAGCCCAGCTCTCTCAGCCCAGCTCCAGAGCAGAGCTGCTCCAGCCCTTGCAGTAGCTTTGTGGCCTCCTCTGGACTTGCTCCAACAGCTCCACATCCCTCTCATGCTGTTGTCCCCAGAGCTGGACACAGGACTGCAGAGGAATCTCATGGGAGAGGAGTAGAGGGGGAGAATCATCTCCCTCAACCTGCTGCTCATGCTGTTAGGGATGCAGCCCAGCACACAGCTGGCTTTCTGGGCTGTGAGTGCACATTGTCATATATGTGCAGCTTGTCATTCACCAGTATCATGGAGATATCTTAGGATACACTTTGCCCGGAGATGCTCTAGAAGACCTTTAAGTCCTGTGCTTAAAGCTTGTTAAAATAAGCCAGGAAATACAAAGTGAAAATATTACAAGAGTAATAGAATCATAGAATGGTTTGGGTTGGAAGGGACCTTAAAGCTCATCCAGTACCAACCCCCTGCCAGGGGCAGGGACACCTTCCACTAGGCCACATCACCAAAGGCTCTGTCAACCTGGCCTTGAACACTGCCAGGGATAACGATTACATTACAACAGGTAATTTGGTAATCACTAATACCCTGGGAAGGCACTACCCCAAGAAATGCTATGATAGTAAGAAGAAAGCAGGCAAGAAGAATTCATGAGGCTGCACATCTTGGAGAGAAGGGGAACATACACTTCAAAACAACTTGTCCATTTGGGATGTGACAGTGAGATCTGTTTCCAATGCTCATGTGAACAGTATTACTGCCCATTACAAATACATGAATCTGCTTTTTGTGTGACGTACCTCACCAGTTGCTTCATCTACCAAAGAAATCTGAGTTGGGGTTTCAACTTCCAGTGCAACCTGTAACAAAAGGGAAAAATTCATTACAGCATTTACTGAACATTTAGTTTCATGCTTATGGCTTTATAGTCATTATGTAGACATCTTTAGCATGCACTGCAGCTAAAGCTAAGCCTGTAAAATTGAGCACATTTTCCTGCAGTAAGTCATGAATATCCATTTCCAGTGGAAAATGGTAAGTTTCCTAAAAGTTTTCTAAAAATGAAATGAAGAAACCTCAATCAAGGTGTGCAAGCTAAAATGTTAGTGTGTTGGACTTCTAACAGCAACAGCTCTCATTTCTTGTAAGCCTTATTTTTGGGTGACTACAAAACCTAGTCCCAGAGCTCACCGGCAGATCTCACCAGGACCCGTGTCTGTGCTGCAGCACTTCCCCTCACTGTTCCCTATCCCCAGAAGCAGAGCCCACAAATCACATGCAGCACGTATTCTGTGTTTGCATAGGGGTGACTGATCTGTAGACCACAACTGATCCCGTTTTGCCATATCCTCTGCTGAGTCCTGCACCCTACGTGCTCTGTGGCCCTCTGCAACGTTAGTGCTGCTATGAAGGCTCCTCCCCCATCAGAAGCCAAAGTGAAAGGAAAGTCTCCTGTCATTACCCTCCTTTGGTGTAACCTCTTGGCTGAGCAGTCTCTTCAGCACCTGGGGTTTCACTGCACTAGCTGGAGTCACAAAACACCAGACACCATGTTCCAAACTTCTGGGAAGCTCCACCAGATCCATTACAAAGGTGGTAACATTTGGCTTCTCCAGCAGAAACCACATCACCAATCAAACTCAGAGCTTGCTCCAAAGCAATTATGTGTCCCCAAAAAATATTTTATCCTAAGAATGCAAGCCACTGGCAATACTTGATTTGTTTAAACATCAATACTGATTTTATTATCTACAGTTTCTGAAGCTGACTGAACTCCAGAGGCTGATCTAAATTCTGCATGCTCAGTATTGCTCAGCAATTCTCAAAGTTCTTACTGCAGTGAAACAATTGGCAAGTCTCCTTCAACCATCAAACATGCCCAAGAGATGCTCAGAGTCCTTTTTACAGAGCCCCAAATCATGTTCACTCCCTCCCTAAGTCATTAAATCTTTCAGTTTCTCAAGGTTTCATAATAGCAAGTTATTGCCTCCCTCTGCTTCACAAATATACTATGACCTACAACAGAAAACATATTTTTCTTACCCAGGCTTACCTCCCAGGTCCCACTCATATGAGTTTCTTTGGACATGGCCCTTAAGACCCAGACTTACAACCTATTCAAGGAAACTCCGAGCCATAACTCCCCCAAGAAAACAAGTTTCAGCTTGCCTGAAGTCCTTCTTGACCTTCCACTTGACTAGAAAACCCTCCTGTCCTTGCTTGGGGGATACAGCAAAATCCTTACATTATGTGATGATGTGAAAAGTGAGATGTGAAAAGAAACATGTTCAGTTTCAAAGCCCGCATCTGCAAAGGGAAGGAAATCACTACAAGTCACACCCAGAATGACCACTGAAGTTTGGCTTCAAACAGTGGAAATAGAAGAAACTAATCAAGTTCTTTAGTGATTTTACGTCACTAAAACATTTTCATGTTTGAAAAAGTCCATTTTCCAAAAATCAACAGGAAAATAATAGAACTAAAAGGTTATAAATAGTCCAAGTAATATGAGACTTTAAATGAAGCAAAAGAGAAATTAAGGACAGGAGCAAAGAGACATGAGCAAGATAAGAAAATGAGGGAGTGATATAAAGACCAATGGAAAACAGTTAAAGCTGAAGTTGAGAGAAAAGGATAAATTCTGTGAAGGGAAAATTAAGATTAAATAATAATCCAATAAACCAATCCCACATTGTATCAACACCAACATTTAGACATTCCTGAGGAGGGGAAGCTCCCTCTTTCCTAGAGGCACTCCTTAGAAAGCCTTCATTTAAAAACAAACAACAACTCACAATGTGATTCTCCCAAAATCTGTACTTCCAGTTAGTCAACAGCAATTCCTTGGTTACCGGGGAGCAGTACAATTTAACTTTCAAGCTGCAAGGAGAGAAAAAAACACAGATGAGAGGGAACAATCTAACGACACATCAACACCTGGCACCTACAACATCAAACACAGTGCTCAGACAGTGGCCTCATCTAAAGAGACCTACAGATGTAAGCCTGCAAGAGCTGTTCTGTTCCAACCTGAAGTGGGATGGGGTTCCTCCACCTCACTGGTCTCCCCTGGAACAGGCATTTGGGACAGTTAGCATTCAGCAGAACACAGAAACATCCTTTTGCACAGTGCATAAAGAGACCTGATGAGCAAAGACAGACTCTGCTTGCATTTGAAGATATGCAATATCTACACTAAGAAACTAAACAGTGCCTAAGAATTGGTCCACAACCTCTCTGGGCCCATTGCCATGTTTGACCATGCTCATGATGAAAACAAAAAGGTGTCTCTTCTGTTATACACTCCAAGAAGAGTATGGCTCCATCTTCTCTACCCCTGCCTGCACACACTGATTGTCTACCACTCTTACAGCTGAAGACACCTAGCTCTCAGCCCCTCCTCACACATCAAATGCTCCAGCCACAGATCAGTGTGGTGGACCTGCTCTAAAACATCAACGCTGTTTTTTGTCCAGGACTGGACTCTTACTCTAAAGTCTCACAAGTGCTGACCAAAGGGGAATAACTGTCTTCCTCAAAACTGCTGGCTGTGTGCTTGCTCATACACTGCTGGTCTCCTCTGTGCACAGCACAAACACGGTGCTATCTCCACAGACTGACCCACTTCCAGAAAATAATAGCAGGGATCCTCATGAAGTTCAACATGACCCGGGGCAGTGACAGTATCAACAGAGGCTGGGGGATGAATGGATTGATAGCAACCCTGAGGAGAAGGACTTGGGGGTTTTGATGGATGAAAAATCAGGCATGAGGCAACAGCATGCATTTCCAGCCCAGAAAGCCAACTGTATCCTGGGCTGCATCTTCAGCAGCAGCAGCAGATCAAGGGAAGGGATTCTCTCCCTCTATTCCACTCGTGTGAGACCCACCCTGCAGTCCTGCATTCAGCTCTGGGGGCAACAACACAAGAGGGATGTGTGTGGAGCTGCTGGAGCAAATCCAGAGGAGGCCATGGAGATGCTCAGAGGGCTGGAGCAGCTCTGCTCTGGAGCCAGACTGAGAGAGCTGGGCTGGTTCAGCCTGGAGAAGAGAAGGCTCCTTAAGGAGAGACCTTAGAGCAGCTCCAGTGCCTAAAGGGGCTGCAGGAAACCTGGAGAGGGGCTTTGGACAAGGGCCTGTAGGGACAGGCCAAGGGGAATGGCTTTAACCTGCCAGAGGGGAGACTGAGATGAGCTCTTAGGCAGAAGTTCTTCCCTGTGAGGGTGCTGAGGCGCTGGCACAGGGTGCCCAGAGAAGCTGTGGCTGCCCCATCCCTGGCAGTGTTCAAGGCCAGGTTGGACACAGGGGCTTGGAGCAACCTGCTCTAGTGGAAGGTGTCCCTGCCCGTGACAGGGGGGTTGGAAATGGATGAGCTTTTAGGTCCCTTCAACAGAAACCACTCTGCCTCCATGCCTTTATGATTCACAACAGTGCCCTTCTCTTATTTTGATCACATTTTGCTTTCACCCACCCACCTCCCCTCAGGGTCTCACCCTGCCGGGCCGGGCCGGCACCCACTGAGGCTGCGGCAGCGCAAGTCAGCCCTGCGGGTCCCGTCCTCCCCTCATCCCCCGGAGTCCCCCCGTACCTGCTCTCCATCCTCCTCCTCAGGGCGGGCGCCCGCAGCCCCTTCATGTGGTCTGTGGAGACAGGGCACAGCCATCAGTACGTGTGCGGGAGGGGTGGGGGGTTGCCATGGTGACGGGCGATACTCACCCTTGTGGCAGTGCGACAGGAAGTAGGCGCGCGCCAGCAGGTTGTCGTGATCGAAGCGGTCAATGGACACGGACGGGTACTCACGCACGCGGCCCCCGAAACGGCTCATGGCGCCCAAAGCCGCTTCCTTGTCGAAGCCCCGCCTCTCCCTGCCTCCAGCCAATCACGAAGAGGATCCGCCTCCTGACAACCTATCAGAGAGCGCGGCGGGAGAGGAAGAACCGGCTTCTTAAAGAGGCAACGGCGGGCGGTTGCTTGGCAACGGCGGGCGGCGGCGGCCGTTGGCGCTGTGAGGGGAGTGCGCCGCCATCGCGCTTCAGCGGCCGTTCCGCGCCGCCGGACTCGGGCATAGTCCCCGTTCTGCGGCTCTTACCCGAGGTGGGTCGGTTCCAGGCCTGGGCAGCCGGGGTGTGGAGTGGGGCTGTGGTCACCTGGTGACTCAGGCTTAGACATCTGGCTGAGCACCCTGGCAAGTGCAAGGAGCTCTCACGTAGTCTGTGGAAGTCATTGAAAACCTCTTATTGGTTCTTATAGGATGTCAGATAGGTATTGTGTGTGCTTACTTGTGTTAAGTGGTTGGAGAAGCACGGGCATCTCCTAGTGCATGGCATCTGCTTTGGGATGCCTGGGGCCTCTGCCTGGGCCCAGGGATGGAGCTGATGATTTCTTGTTTGCAGGCTCAACCCGTAACACAGCTGAGCATATGTTACAGACAGGGCTGGTCACACAGGCTGTTGCAGATGAGGTGTTGCCTTCACCAGAAAGTACAGGACTCACATAAAACAAGGCATAAGACAAGTCCCTTCCTCCTCTTCAGCTGCTACCCATAAAAGGTCAGCAGTTCAGGTATACACACACCACTCAAGCTTCTCATGCAAGTGCATATTTGTGGATCCTCTGAGGACTAGCACAGCTCCTCTGTCTGCCGAGCACCCCTCCACAGATCCTAGGCCCCCCAGCCTGGTTCCTGGGTTCCCCGCTTACCTGTTAGACCAGTTGATGATCACAACTGGATCATCAGTTGCACTCACGCATTCCTCATGTACTCCATGTTCACAAGTCCCTCTGGGTGTACCAGCATGGCTCTGCTGCTCACTTGATACCCTGGCCTGGACCTGAGGTTGCCCCTCCTCGCCAGCTAGTCCAGCTTAAAGTTTCCTAGCTAATATGGGTATACACCCCATGTGTACCTGGATTAGAGAAGATACAGATGATACACAGATAGACTCCACAAGTCATTAGAGGTGTAAAGTAGGTATGCTTTTATTCAGCGCTGAGGCACATGGGGATTGCTCCTCCAAAAGCATGCGCACCTTTCCTTTGCCACTCAGTTCTTTTATATTACATATAATGATTACCTAAACATGAGATTGCTTCACGCCTAATACATATGCAAAACCTATTCCTATCTAGTATTATAATTAGTTTTCTGGCATTTGTCCCATTGGTGCGCCTGCGCAGTGCCTCCTGGTGGTGGTCGTTAGGGGGTCATGAGGATGAAGGCCTGTAGTTCCTCTTCATCACTGCAAGTAACCTCTTGCTTTCACGCAGACTCAACAGGGTTTCAGCTCCTATCCAAACCTCATGTTCGGTACAAGCCGGTTTTATGTATCTTAGAGCAGAAACTTGTCAAGTTTGCAAGTTTTGTTACTCTGGCTATCTTTTGTTCCTTTTCTTTCTAAAGATACTATTTAAACAAGAATGTCTTAAATGTTGAGTTATGAATCTTATCTACTACAATTCTGCCTAGCAGCTGTAACTCTTACAATTCTGCTTCACCGTTCTAGCAACTTTGACTCCGACGGCTGCTTCACCAAGCACAGCAACTGCTTAAGCAAGCAGGCACAATGTTAACCCTTTATTTCCCAGTACACTCCTCCTCCCCAGCACAAGCTGTGATCCACAGTCATGCTTCTATTCCTGGCATAGAGCCCCTCATTCAGCCAGCACTCCCTCAACAGCGGACTTGTTTAGGACACATACTGCTCCTGCTGCAGTAGCTGGAGTTGAAAACCCCTGCTCTCTCCAGCAGCTGACATCTCAAGATGTCATACCCAGGAGCTGGCACCAGTTTTTCACTTACACAGGTCACACCAGTAGCTGGTATTTAGTCCTTGCAGCACATATATGCTCATGGGACATAGAGCAAGATTACTCAGAGAGATAATTAAGAAAATATTTAATATGAAGATATAAGAAGGTAGGACAAACTGTAATGATCAGGTGCAGCCAGGCAAGTGTACTGACTGGCCCTCTTTTGTACTCCTTCCTGTCTATTGCCATCTTTGTTCCTCCCTGCTCCTCTCCCCCTGCTCATCCCTCCCTTTTTTATACAGCTCTTAACTATCGCTGCACCCCTCTGATTCTGGGCTTCCCCAGGTTTATAGTCTTACCAGTTGGAAAGTCCAGACTGATCTTCCTGGGGGTGATGCTTGTGGTTTCTTGATAGCCCATTGGTTAGTGTGAGTGGTGAGCTTTGGGTTTGTTGTTTTTTTTTATGGTCTCTATGTTTGTTTTTTCAGGTGGGTGTCTCTGTATATTTTGGTTTGAGTTTCCCCTTTTCCCCTTGGTTTTCCAACTGATAAGGTCCCTGATCAGATAACCTTGCTGGAATAAACACTCTCACACTCCCACATCCCCTCATCAGTTACTGTGACTGACCTGGTTTGGTACTCATCACCACCTCCCTCATTTGCTGCTCAGGTTCGTGTCTCCCTATGTTCCTGTTTTATGGCTTCCTCCCTTTCTTATTATCCCTTGTTGCATTGAAAGAAGTCCTTGACCAGAAACTCTTAAAGGAGCAGACACTTTCCTCCCACGTACCCTTACAACCTGTGTGAGCATTAAGGAAACTGCCATCTGCCAGGCAGGCTAATTAGGATTCCATGGAAATTATGCTGGGATTAGCATTAAAAGATGTTTTCCCAAAGCTAAAACAGAGGTGTATGAAATCTTAGTATTTCCCTTAAGGCAAACGTTGTCTTAGCAAAGTCCACTTCAACAATTCCCTTTCAATGGGTAGTGTTAGTATCATGCTGAATGTTTTCTTACCACTCTCTGGCATTCTTTCATTTGCCTGTATATGGCTGCTGCCTTTGCCACTTCCCTGAATTGCAGGGAAGGCTGTCTGGTATACAGCTTGTTTCCTTGTACAATGAAACCAGTTCTATACCTGGAACTCAAGACACACTACCATAGACAAGCAGCTGCAGTTTTAAAGAGCTTAAATAGCAGACTGCAAATATCAGGATGGCACTTTTATTATCTGAAGTCACACTTTAAATGTGTGACCTTTGTGTATGTATATGTATGTGTGTGTATATATATATATATATATATATATATATATATATATATACTGAGCAGGAACACCTGTGAACAGACCATCTGAATTCATGGTGACTCAGGAAGGGCCACACATAGCTAGCTGTCTGGAAGAAGCACACTCATTACAAGAATTCAGTACATTCCATAAGGAACTACTTAACACTTATGTTACCATAAGACACTTAAATTCATTATAACTTAGCATTTATTAAGAACTAATTGCTCTTGCTAATCATATTGACTGGCTAAAGTCCCAGATTGACAGTACTTCTCATCAAACATCAAAGATCACATACAAGGCATGAAAAAATTCTGTAATGGATACAAAAGAGCCCTTTGCAGCAGGAGACAAAGAAAATTATATTGAGATAGATATCTCAAAGTCCATGCTATGGATTTAAAACAAGGATATCTGTTCATCATATTGATTTATATGTGACACCTCATAAATGGAGGGTAAACTTTTTTTTCTTTTTCTTTTTTATAGTAAATGGTTGCCTTCAATTACAAAGTGCTGCAGAGCCTGGTAAAAGAATGTTTGGAGTGCTGAGCTGCACTGAAGTAGTTTAGTATTGCCAGAAAAGAGCCCTTGTGCGTTTTTTATTGATCTTTAAAAAAGTGTATGCAGTAAGTGATGAAAGGCCTTTTCTTTGTGTGCTAATGGTTCTCATACAGTTAGAAGACAGAGATGCAGGCATCTCCTATTTCTACAGTCTGATTACAGTCATTCTTGATAGACTTTTCCCAATGATTTGTATGCTATGGTGAGATTTTTTATTCTCCTTTTCTGCCTTTCTAACAGATTAAGGGCATTTGTGTGTTTGACAAGATATCAGCATTCAGCTTCTTGAGCTTTCAGTTGATATAGGAACTTACTAAGTAAGAAAAAATACACTGTGTGTGCAGGATTTGGAGGCAGCACCCTACCCCCAGGGAGTGAGACTCTGTTCATCCTCTCACTACAAAACCCATAAGCACATCCCTGGTGAGCTGTCACTGACTTTTCAATGTTTTCTTTTTATTTTTTGATTATTTTATTCCTTTTTATTGGTTTGTTTTTGTTTTTTTTTTGTTTTTTTTTTTTCAGTTTGACTTTCATCTTGTCCCATTTCTGCTCTGTTGAGGTTTAGCAGTTGATGAACCTACATACTATTTCTCAGCAAATTGAAAAAGTGGGTTTTGCGTGAAGAGGTAGTCAGTGCCGATTTCATTGGAAAAGGGTAAAATAGGATGAATTTGGGGAGGTTCTGTGCCTTTCCCCCTTGTCCAGTTTATTTAGTAAGACTTCTGTGTTATCTCTGCTGTGGCCATGTGACTAGCACTGCATTTCTCCTTTCCCCTCCTCTCCCACCCTGAGTGTTTGCTATTCTTCAGTAACAGCCCAGCTCTTCATTTTGTAGTTCCCACTTTGATGTACCTTCATACTGAAGCAAGAAAAACCTGAAAAGCTGCCTGCCCCAAAGGGATAGCAACTGTGAAGCTGTGAATAATAATAATAAAAATATACTGTATTTTGTGTATTTTTAATTGATTAATACACACAAATACATTTTAGGTACATGAAGTCAAGCTGTATATAGTATTTAGATGAGTTGGGTTAGCTGGAGATCAAGTAGTGCATTTAATTTGATCCCAACTGCTTACAATGTGTTTTAACCTCAGACTTTGAGGGGAAGATAATATTGTCCTGTCTGTAATTCCTTTACTTAAAAATTTTGCTCTACCCACTCCTGTATGTCCCCAACAAAATCATTTGCTTCCATCGTCTCTATTTAATTTGTAAACATCTGATTTCAGGAAAATGTCTGAAGTTCCTGGAGTCATTGCTAACGCTGACATTGAACCAAAATCTATACATCGTGCCAAGAAATGGTCGGGTGATGTAGAGAACTTATACAGATTCCAGCAAGCTGGATACAGAGATGAGATTGAGTATAAACAAGTGAAACAAGTAGATACGGTAAGATTTAGAACTTTGCAAGGGTTATTTCTTTAAAATTCTGTCTCAATTAAATGATTAAATAAAGATGGAGGTGCTGAGTCTTTCCTGTCATTTAGGATTCCATTCATTCCTTTCATTCCTATCTTTTCTGATGCATTTTTTTCTCCAAGGTTTGACTTAAATTCTTGAGCTACTATTTGCTGTGTAGAATAACTTATGTCACAGAAGTGAAACAGAAACATTGAGTGGCCTGTGCTTTTGTTCCCCTTCTCTTATGAATTTGGAAGCATTATCAATTTCTCTGAACAGATGTAGCTGCTATCTAAAAGAATAATTCAGTTTTGAGAAAAGGAGTGTAACAAAGTGAGTTATCTGTGAAGTTTCCCCATAACTCTGCCAGTAGAGCCAACAGGAAGCTCACTTGCTGTCCAGGGAGTCAGTCCTGTGCCATTGCTACCCACTGCAGTTTTACAGTTGCATTGTGTGGTAGCATAATCAGACTTTGTGCACACTCAAAACTTGGCTGCTATTGAAACCATCCACAAAAGAAATATTTGATGCCAACTGTAGTAAAGGGAGCTGTGACACAAGCTTTTATCAATGGAGAACATCAGTGCTCTGCTCACTACATTTGGTGACAATTCTCCCTAGCACTTCAAATGAACTAATGGATAATGGCTACTATAGATATTCAGTGGCTACTTGAGATTTAAAATAGCAACCAAGAGCTTAATATGGCAAGCAACATATTTTCTCTATTGGAGCTCTGGAATTTATCTTCCAAAGCAGCATATGTAGTATGAAAAATCCACTTTTAGGAGACCTTAAAGTCACTAACATGTTACTCCTTATCCAGTTAACTGAAAACACAGCAAAAAATTGATGTGCATAATAAGATGCAGTTCTTTATTTGATTGTGGGCTGGGATACCACTGTAAAGGCTGTGGTGTAAATTCCCTTAACTGTGCAAAAGGAAATACTGTAATTAGTGTGGTAGTATCAGTCTGTTTGAAGTTTATGGCAGGTCATAACCATAGACAATTAAACCTTGATGAAAGTTAAAGAACACCACTTAGCCAGTGTAAAATGAGCATGCATGCTGCTCAAAATTGCCAGGATCTGGTAGTTCTTCTCTTTCAATTTATGCATCTTGAAATGTCTTTGTTTACTCCACATTATGTTTCCATAATGCAGGTGTTACTAATGGTGCAATTATAATATAGATGGAATTAATATTGAGGCTGTTACATTTAGGTGGAGAATGCAAATAGCTTGGCTATATGCCTAAAGTAATAAGGTTAAGTGTTGAAACTACCACTTCTAGCACTCTACAATTAGAGAATGCTCTAGGATGACATCCTCTCATCAACTCTGCCTGGAAGAGAGATAAGATTCTCATTACCTGATTTTTAAGGTTCAATTGGACCAGAAATAGTCATAGGTGTTCAAGCTGCAGACAGCTACTCAGCTGTTGAATGAACAAGCCTGTTGAATGCTCACGCCTTAAAGTTTCACACTGTGGAACACTGAAGAGCACCAGGATGGTTCTGGTTTCCTGCAGGACTGATCCTTCCATCTGTGAGACTAAGATACATATCACTCATTTTATTTGTATAAAACTGCTAAGGAAAAGCACATTTTTCATGGTCAGAAGGATCCCAAAGGAACCATTAAGTGTTTTCAGTCTTCCAGACGTGGAATCTTTCAGCCTCTCCGGTTACTGAATAACTGAATAGTACCAATGTTTTATTCCTAAAGGAGGTATTTTAAAAGCTTTGACTAGTATACTTATTTAAATTACTCTTATCAAATATTCTTAGATCCTTATTTCTAGACATTTCTGAGCATATAATTCTTGATCATATAATTCTTAATCATATAATTCTGATCTATAATTCTATAATTCAGACCAGAAAACTAGTTTTGACATCTTGTTCTTCATCATCTTTTTAAAGTTAAGCAAATGAATAGCAAAGTAGTGGTTAGATGCAAATGGAATTATACCCTGTATCCCTTGCAATATAATCCACAAACATTTAATGTGAGCACGTTCTGGTGAATGTGTACCCTTTTCATTCTATTCTTAGGTAGAGTACTGGCCAGAAACTGGATTTGTTAAGAAACTTCAGAGAAGGGACAATACATTCTATTACTACAATAAGCAAAGAGAATGCGAAGACAAAGAAGTCAACAAAGTGAAAGTTTATGTGTATTAGTTTTGGGTTTGTTCTGATTTGCTTGTAGTTTTTGTGATAAATCTGCTTGTTAGAATCAGAAAGTGAATGAGATTAAACAATCTGATTTACCTGAAGTGTTGGTGTCATTCTTAGGTAGAAGAGGGAATACTGGAAATGCAGGAAAGGCTGGAACTTTAGACATAGGAATTTCATATTTTTTCCTGCTATAACCAAGTCTTCTTATCCCTCTTTTTTTCTAGTTGCAAATATTTTGACATAAAGGTAAAAAGCTGGTAAATGAGCATCATATATTTGGTTTAACTGCGTGTAAAGTCCATTTTAAGTCCAGGCACCAATCTTCATTCAAAACAACATAATCTTACTGACAGTGGCTAATGTCAGCCATAGTCTCTTGGTATAGATGAGGGTTATGAGACTAGAAAGGACTGAAGCAAAGCCCAAATGCTAATTGAAGTTCCCTTGGAGAATAGGAATAACAAGGAAAGAGATTAGTGAAGGACACCAGACAATCAAGCAGCAAGGACCAGGGATGAGCTGCTGATTTAAGAACTGGCTATTGTGATAGAAACAGTCACAACGAAGATGTCTTTTCGAGCAATAGGTAAGGGATCCCCAAAGTATTTTTGTCATGTGAAAGTGCTAATTACTGGAGGAGGAAATATTGACATGGTAGCTATACATTTTGGGGGGGGGGGGATTTACAGATGGTGGGAGCAGTGGGATCAGACAGTGTAAAACTGCAAGGAGAACATGAAATCCATAGTGTGTAATATATAAGGTTAGGTAACGTACACAGATGGTATGTGGAGAATTCATCTCGTTTAACTTCAAAGTCACATTGTGAACATCTACACCTCATCTTGTCTTTTGGAAAACTTTTTTTTCTGAATGGGGAAACACTGGCTCTGCTGGGCACAATTAATTTCTTCATTTCTTCTAAATGTGGGTATGTAACATTTGCTTTGGAAACATTGCAGTGACATTAGCCCTGCAGAAGCTGTCTATGTGCGTGCTACACTGAGACAGTGAACACAACGTACCCTACTTACTTTCACTCCTTAGGGTCAAAACTCTGGGTAACTGACCATCAGCACAGTAGTATGGGTGCAGTATTCAAAACATCTCATTGGTAATATGTGAGCATGATCTAGTCACTTTATTTAGACTGCCTGGAAAGTCTTCACTTAAATTTGTTTGAGCTCTGTTAGAGGAATGACTGAAAAGTACTCAGAAGCAACTGTGAAGCTTTTTTTTTATTCCAGGCAGGTTTTAATGGCATATAAATAGTGACTGCAATGACAGAAATAAAACATTGCTTCAGTAAATGTCACATTACATTTTCATGATGATTTCTTATTTGGATTGCTCTTGAGGTGCTTTTTAAGAGAGGACTTTTTGCATACTTTGCCCATTAAATAGAGGGAACAGAACAATTGTTGGGATAACCCATCTATTTTTTCACTTTTAGAGAGCAGATTGTACTTTGTTAACTTCATAGATTCCTAAGAAAGAAACCTTACAGTGGGCATGAAAAAACGCCTTTAAGAAATTCGCAAGAATGGATGTGTTTTATACCCAACTCAATTGTATTGACAGAAATCACAGCTGTTGACACACACACAGTAACTGAGCAGGTTAGGTACAGCCATTTTCTCAGTCTGTAGAAAAGACATAGTTGCTCATTCAAGAACAGGAATTAAAACTGCAGGTAACTTGTTTACAGCTTAACTTTCTTTTACAGGAAGACTTTAAAATCCTGAAACAAATGTAAAAGATTAGTCTGGGCTTCCCTCATTTCACCTGACTGCATCTCAGTGATTCTGCAATACTGCTGGATAATTTCTCTCTTGTATTATGTTTTAAAACAATAAGTCTACATTTCATAAAGCCCATGGAGATTTCATTTCAAAGCGGCAGCATGGAAATCCATGTTCCACTTCAGAAATGCTGATTCTCTGTGAGTTGGCAGATTCTTCTCACTTTAAGAGAGTGAATTACCTAGATTTTATTATTCGTATTTTTCAGCATTGTCACTGTCCTAAAAGCTTGAATCTGACTGTAACATTTAAAAGATTAATGGAGTGAAAAGGAAAAAAAAGCATCATGATTAGCGCTGGAGACCTGTTTACAGACACAGTCTTTGTCAGGACTAATGCTGTATTCTGGAGTTCACTCACTTTATTAGCAAAACAGCAGGTTTTGTATAGGCAGTCACAGTTTTGGTCTGGAATTGTCCATTGACATTCAGTTTATATCCGTATTTCACTCCAGTTCATGCTATATTTCAGGTTACTTAAAACCACTCCCTTTTTCTAAAGACTGCAACTGTGTAATGGCTTTAGCTACAAAGCCAAAGAGGTTCCTCTCTTTAAAGAGAAACAGGTACAGGGGTTCTTGCCCGAGTTCAAGCTTGTTTGCGATCCCAAGATAAAATTAATGAAGTATAAGGGTGTTTGCTTGAGTTAATTCTTAGAATCACAGAGTGGTTTGGGTTGGATCTACTTATTCTAATTTCACTTAATGCCTTTGTAAAAGACAAGAATAAATGCTTTCTGTGTCAGTTGAAGCTCATAAAAGGAGGTAAAACAAACTTTTCCGAGACCTACTTTTCAGGCTTTGTGTTTGACAGCCCCAAGTGAAATGGCAAGGCTGCAACCTCTCTGAATTCACCACCTTACACTGTGGGAATAAAGGCCGCTTTAGTGTGTTCTAGGCAGATTTTCCACGTTTTCTGCCTTAACTCAAATTCATTATGGAGCAGTGTTTTCTGTAAGTGATAACTGTAGCTATCTGATTGTTTTGCAGCCACACAGATAGTTCAAGCATTTTAATTTTCACTGTGGTACCTCAGTTGTCTCTCCAACTCTGCAGACAGTTGGACCTCAGCCCTTTGGTTGGTTCACAAACACAGTGTCCTTGTTTTAAGGTGTTGAAAATGATTGAATGGCTTCAGACTCCCTAAAGACAATTTTCTAACTCACAAGTTCTTGGTGCCACTGTTCTCATGGTGTCTGATACAAGTGAAGTCTGACTGAAAACAGCTCAAGTGGAGTTGCCTTATGGTCTCTGCAGGATCTCTCATGTTAGCCCAGTCCCACTGGGTTTATATTTATTTGTAGGAGCTGCTTTCCTAGTATCCTGCCTGTGCTGCGCACCTCTTGACAAGCTGTAATTGCTTAGTAAAACACATTTTCTTTCTTGTTGCAGTTGAGAATTTGCATTTACCTCAAGTCTGAAGCACAGCGTGCTCTCGAGCAGCGCTTGTGAGGGTGACTGGTGAATGTCTGCTGTCAGGAGAGTTCCAGGTTGGCACCAAAAAAACCCTGCAGTGTAACTTTGAAAAAACATCACCATTTGTATGGATATGCTGTTCAGCCAGTGTTTTACGTGTCTCAATGCTGGGATTGTCCGACGCCCTGTACCCAGCTTTGGCTCAGACTTTGAGTCTTCTGCTCACCAGCTAGTGCAGCTTGATGTTTCCTAGCACATTGCATACACATGGGACTACATTCACTAAGGAAATACAGACACAGCCCAGTTGTTGTGGGTGCTGGCACTTACACCCTCAGATAGGCATATACATCACCATCCCTCTAGTGATGGCACACAGACCTGCAGTCCCTATCACGCATGGCCTCTTCTTCAGGCTCACAGGATAGATAGATGACACTGAAGAGGTAGCTCAGAGTGGGGTTTAGCAAGAAGACAGCCCAGACTTGCAGGTGAACATCCTGCCTGACAGCCTGCTCATTTATATTTCAGCCCTCCAACCTTCCTCCTAGCTGTCTGCCCATACTCCTTCCACCCTGGTCCTTCTCCTAAACATCCCATTGTAAATTTTACTCAGTCCCCTAAGATCCTCACACTTCATATTCACACTAATTATGTTCTTATGAGCTACAAAATCCAGGCTGACCCTCTCCAAGGCCAGAGTAGTTCTTTTAATGGCCCATCACTCAGTGCCTGAGGAGCTCTGGCCTCTGGTGTTCTCTTTCATCACCTGCTCATTGATGTTTGAGTGTCTCTGTGTTTAATTTAGTGGTTTCCTCATTACTTGTTATTTTTATGATATTGGGTAATCCTCAACCAAATAACTTTCTGAACCAGATGCTCTCATATCTCACATGTTCCTGTGCCACCCTCCCTGAGGCAGGCACCGTGGCTTCAGTGTGAAGGATGATGCTGTGTGGAGGCACCTACACAGCAGGATCTCTGCAGTGCTGCTGCACCAAGTGTCCAGGCAGTTCTAAGGACATGGAGACAGAGGGAAAGGAATGCCTAAAAACAGGAATAGGAGGGGGATGGGGGAAAAAGGGTGCAAGTTCAGGGGAGGATAAGTGTATGTAAGAAGTCAGCCACAAATGCACCAACATTTTGCCAGTGATCTGGTACCCGCAGAAGCTTCCTCCCTTGCTGGCAGTGGCTCAGCTCTTGCTGGCTGGAGAAGCAGCACATGCTGCAGATGCTCATCCTGCCTTGGCAGGAACACCCGAATGCCTCAGCCAAGGGGAAGGTGTCCTGCTCGGGTGGGTAAGCTGTGTGGGTTTGCAAGAGGGATGGAGCAGATAGAAGGAGGACTGGACCTGGGGCAGGTTGTTTGCCCAGGGTGTGCAAAGGATGTGAGCTGTGCTGAAATGTAAAGGGGAGCACCCTTGTGCCAAATACATGTTTTTGAGGAACAGCCAGTGCTGGGATGTGAGTAGGGAAAGGCCAGCACATGGGCTGTGAGTGCTAGGAGCCAGGATGCTGTGCATGGAGAGATGGGCTGGAGCCAGGCATGTTTGATGTAGGGATGTGTTGTGCAGTGTTTCTGGAGGAAAGGACCTGCAGATCTGCCTCCTTCCATGGCTCTGCTCTCCAGAAGCTACTACAGAGAGCAGAACTCTTCCTCTATAGCCCTATTCTGCACCTGCAGTAGGAAGAGCTTCCAGCTCCCATCCTAACCTCCCTGAGGGATCCATCTTCATCTTGTTCAGCAGGAAGTTGAGTTGCAGCCCAGGGGATCCCTGCTTTTTCTCCATCAACTCCTGAAAAAGGAGCAGGTCTGTGTACCAAGGGCTGAAAGTCACTCGTGTGAGGAGACGCTAATTAAAAACATGAAATATCTCTGTGG